TGGACCTACGCCTAAGGTTTTGTTGAACATGTTTTACTACAAAGTCAAACTCCTTGATCCGATACATTGTCACATGGAAAAGTTCGAAAATTTATTAATGAACCTCTTCTTCATCAAGTCAACAAACACAAACCAAAACTCACAGCTGTCTGACAGTTAGTACGTATGTTGCTTGTAGTGCAACCAATACATAAAAATATGCTGAATTCGGTAAACAAAACACAACACATAACCTATAATTTCCTAAATTCTCGTTACTTTTTGAACATATACCATATTAAAATCGTAATTTAGTACGGAATGTGTTCAACGTGATGTAACTTGCTTATTGATTTAAGACAATTTTTGTAGAAAGATATACTAATACTTTAATCTACTATTCATTTCTAGACTATAGAATAGAATTGAATTCATGATTTATATTCAGGTAAGAAAGAAAAAACAAGGTTTTAAGTAAAATTGTATCTTATATACACATAATTATAAATTAATAAAATTCTTAACTAATTTGCAAGTACAGGTAAAGTAATGTTTCTATTATTTCACTAAACATATTAAGGCTCTTTAAAATGCTTAGAAAATAGTGATACAGTATTAAGACGAAAAAAAAGTTTTTTTTCTGCTCTTATTCTTAGTGGAACTTGAACTTATACCTACAACTACCCATATAAGAAGCAAGATCGAAATCGAAACTTATACAATCGTATTTGAAACACTAGTAACACCTAACAATGCCAGTGTTATAACCTTTTCAAGGGCTTTACGAAGACTTTTACGAATCAACGACTTGTTCTGCCAAATCCCTTGATAACAATTGTAAATCAAGTGCCCACGCGAAATATCAAAACCACGCTTACAAGGATTGTATTTGTATTGTGAATCGTACGATATAAGACTTGGTTGGAAAATAACAATATTAGAAGAATAACTCAAGTCTACTTAAAAATCTAGACTCAAATTTATAATGTTTGTGTTACGAATCTGAAAAGTGGTTGGTAAATATCAATATTACGAGAACTATTTATAATGCTTGTATATACATTAGCTTTACTGTCCTAGACTTAGCTTATGTATATCATACAATTTCGATTGATATGTGTAAGATATAATGAATGGTCTCTTTTAGTAAATACTCCAGGGGAACACCAACATGTAAGCTAGGCAACATTAAATATAATTTTTAATTTAAATCGTGTTTCTAATATATCTGTTTTAAAGTAATTACTTGTGGCAACATAACTTGATTGAAACAAATTATTACTGTGACTAAACTACCTATCAGTGACAAACAGTTTACAAAACATAGCCTAGTAAAATATCTCTCACTTTACGAAAGGAATAGAAAAGATTGTGAATTATTTACATTCTCAATAAATACAGCAAATAGAAAATCAAAAATTCCAACAATTGTCATTCTCAAAATATCTGCAAAATACTTGACGAACTCATGAAAGAGGCTGCAGAGGATCAATATGAAGAACCGCAATAACGAAACTATGTTTAGAGTAGCCCAGCTGATATCATGATTATATCGTCTAATACAATTTATGACAAAGATATGAAATGGATATAGTAATATAATGGACTGAAGCTCACAGATATAAGAACTAATATTATACTGGAAGATCTGAACATTTTTTGCACAATCTTTAAGCAAATATTAGGTACGTTGCAGTGTACCTAATATCTATTTTTTACTTTTCTCAGCAAACTAGTATTTATTCTTATGTCCTAACTGAAGTTCAGTTATCACGAAACAGCATTATGAAGAAAACTGGTAGTCCTATAGACCATAATTCTTATAAATGAAAACTTTTAACATATTTTGATACATTTCTTGTTCAATCATTTGTAAATTTTACATCAACTAACTGTACAAATTAAACAAACAAAACAATAACATACAAACAAAAACAAAACATTAATTCACTCAACTTTTGTCATAAATTTAATTAAATATATTTATGATAATTTCATTCATACCAGGGATACATAAAAATTATATCCAAATAGCACTTCTTACTGAATCAAAGAGTACCATAAATAAAATATATCTTTCAAGTCTTATAACAGGAAACAGAATATATAATGGATGTCTATAAAAATTCATCAAAGCAAATAAGCAAAAACTATAAATATTCATAACATACATAAGGTATCCATCTATAATCTTTGTCCTGACGATATTACGGTTGATTAAAGCTTTTACATATTCAAAATATTAGATACTTCCACTCACTTTCAGCAATAAAAATAAATTAAAATGACTAACAAAGTTAAGCCTCTTCATTGTAACTTAAAGATAAGCTAATTAACTAAAGTAGCTACTTAGACAAGTCATTTTTATATTTCTCTTTTTATATTTGTGTTGCTTTTAGTTGCTCTTACAACGGCTCAAAACTATTTTGTCAAGAAAAGAAAACACTCATACGCCATGTATGACATTTGCTACTTTTACTGCTTTGTACTTTATATGTAATTATTCTGTTCGAGTGCCCAAAGGATTCAATTTCATTTCACCTAACACAGTTACGTGTATATACATATATATATAGTTTTGTTGTTGTTGTTGTTAGTCAGTTATACTGCTCGTTGTTGCCATGTCTGTTAATAGGTTTAGGCGAGTTAAGGACATTTTTCTTGAAATTGTGTTTTCACTTTGTTATTTATGTTCACTTGAGTTTTACTGTTTCAATTTGTGATGAATTTGCTTTAATACTGTGTCAAGCTCAAATACATTTCAATAGAATTAATAAAATAAACATAATAAAGTTTAGTGTTATTAACTCAAGTGGAAATTAAATTTGTTAAATGCTTTATTTGTAGCTTGATTAAGCTAAAATGCTCAAAAAGAAAATCTTGCTTTGTTAAAGCATTGGAATATATTTAATCCTACAAAGGAATATTAATTTTGAGGTTGAAATAGTTGAAACGAACTTAAAATACACGTTTGTTCAAGATTTTAATTCAATATATTCCTTGGAACTTGACGCTAGGTTTGAAATACAATTTTATTCAAATGACTTTCGAAGAGGCAACTTTCTATATGAGATCTATTTGAAATAATTTCAGATGACTGGTTGGCATAAAGATGGTGATAATGTAGCAATAACTGAACGGATGTTGATGTCTCATGTTTATATATATAATTTTGGCATATTAAGATTATTGTCATAAACACGATCCTCTGTGTTTATCAAAGACATAAACTGTACCCTACAAAGTAATTCCATTTGTCACAAATTGTGTATTTGTGGCCTACGAGAAGCATACGAGAAGAGTCTCGCTTATCAAATTCAAAAAAGGGTGTGTCATGTTGAACTAGTTAAAACCATATAACTTTCACATCTACACCTGCAATCTTACGTCAAAAAAAACTAAATAACCATGTGACTAAAGAGATAAGAATTGTTAGTTTGTGTCATACCTTCGGCGTCTTCAAAGAAAATACGAGCCTATCGCACCTCCAAACCAAATGCGATACCCAAAAGTAAGTTTTTTAATGATACAATGGTCTTGAGACAGTTGTTTCTTTTTACTGTCCCAAATGCCATAAATTTGCGTATGGCCAAATATTTTAAACAAAAAAATAGACCACATGTCACAAAAAATCGTGTTCCAGAAGCTGTTGTTTAAACACCCATTCAACATACCATATGTTCTGAGCACTGCATGATCTATATTATGAAATGTAAATCTTTGAAGTTTACATACGATAGCAATTCTGGTTGACATTGTCACTGGAAGAGTGCTGCGAAATGGATAAACTTTAAAGAGAAAGATTTAGTTTTATTTATTAGATGAAGACAAAGATGGATGATTTCAAATGTGCTCATACCAGCTTAATCAATGAAGATCAAATGGTCAAAAACTATCTCCACATATAAATTAGAGTTTAAACATTGTTGTAACATCATAACCGATAAATATCTTCTTCTTGAATGGCCAAAAACTTCCTTTTTACTGACGAGCTTAAACGTGGTCATACCAACTTAGTTGATATGAAATCCGTTCCAAATCGTAAAAACTGTTTCTGATAGCATTTTATAAGATAATTTTTTTTCAAAGATCCATAACTCTTGATGAAACGTTGAATATGGTATATAATAAATTTAACTGGTTTAATGACTGGTATTTAAAAATCAATATTCCTCAAAAATATTCTGCAAGTATTAAAAAAATACCTTGTATATTTTGACCACAATTATTGAGTATTTTGAATGAAATTATTTTGTTAAAAATCAAAGTTTTCGCAAAAAAAGAAAAAAATTCTTTTAAATCTTTTGTGCGGATAATTAAACGTTAATTGAATTTATTGATTTCATACCCAATACCGAAAAATACACAATTGAGCACAAAAAATATCAAATTTTCATGCTAACCATTAGCGCTACACTGAGAAAAAACTGCCGCTGGCAAGTTTAAATAAATTTCAATTAACGCAACACCGAATTTCGGCACTACCTAGGCACTCGCACCACACCTGCAAACCAAGCTCTACACACATGTGTACTTGCAACTTGCCAGTGGAGTCGCGTAGTTGTGTAGTGTGGCTGGAGCACACCCACCTCACGTATTCACATCCGCTCGTATCGAGTGAATTTAATGGCGCTATTAACTTCGTGCCGCTGACATTGGCAAATGATTAAGCCAATTTGCAAAAGTATAAGGCAATTATTTTCAATTGAAGCCCAAATTAATATTGAACATCGGCAGCGGCAGATAACCGTATTAAAGCTGACGCTAAGGTTGTGTATGAGGCCGATATGGTGTGGTGCATGGGGGGAGTAGTAAACAATATTAAAGGCAAGTGAGTGACTTAAGCGTTACAACATTTATATAGCAAGTAACATGCGGCGCAAAGCACTGCCCGTGGCTGAAGCGGAAAACCACAAAAACACGCAACAAACTGACGTCACTTACGTACGCCCGCATCGCACAGTAAGGGAAGCTCGGCGCAGTGAAGTTAAGTAAGGATATTCTAGGCAGCCATTGGTGTTATAAATAAGGATTAAACGCCGTTGTTGCCTGCAATTGTCTGATGCTGTGCTGACTACACACAGTTACGCCTGCCGACGTTGCCTTCATGCCTGTCAAGAAACGAACTTTTTTTTGTTTAAAGAAGAAATTTAGCAAAAAAAGTCAGCAAAAAAATCAGAAAAAGCACAAGAGCTAAGGGGGAAGGGGTATACATCAAAATATTGAACACAATTAAACTTAAAGCAAAAATTTTATTTGATTTGTAGCAAATTTGTGAAAATATAAAAAAATATCTAATATTTGTTGTTAAATGAAACAAATAAATTAAACGATATTAGAACACGGAAAAAGGAAATAAAATAAATAAAAAATAAATAAATTAAAGATAAACAAAAAAAAAAAATAAATAAATGATATCTATAAAATAATAAATAAATAATAAAAATAAAAAAAATAAATATAACAAAAAAAAATATGAAAAAAAACAATATAAAAATAGTTTAAAAAAATAATAAAAAATAAAAAAAATAAACAAAAAAAATAAATAAACAAAAAAAAATAAATAAACAAATAAAAAAATAAATAAATAAAAATTAAGTAAATAAAAAATAAATTAATAAAAAATTAATAAAATATTAAATAAATACAAAATAAATAAATAATAAATAAATAAATAATAAATAAATAAATAAAAAATAAATATAAAAAAAAACAATATAAAAATAATTTAAAAAAATAATAAAAAATTAAAAAAATAACAAACTATCTTAAAAAAAATAACAAAATAACTTAAAAATAATTTTAAAAAAATAATAACAATTAAAAAAAACCTTATAAAAAAGTAAAATAAATTGAACCCTATCTATTCGCTATAATTCCGAATGAAAAATCTAAAAAACAATGGACCGAATATGTAACGACAGATTTAAGAATAACTTCAATAAATATAAAACACAATGGAGACATGTGATAGTTGCAGTAAAAATATCTAGATCGAGTATTAGTCTAAGATCAAAAATAACCAATAACACGCCTTTGGAACAGAATACCAACATATCGAATAGAGTTACAATTACATTAATAATAAACAAAAGAACTCCAATAAAAAAATATACCGAGCGATTGAAATTACCATCACATCAACAGTAATATAGGCAACTAAACTTGCCTCAAACAATTTAAAAAATAGTTAATTTCTCTAAATCAAATTTACAAAACTTGTGATATCAGCAAGTAATACGAATTAGTTGTACCGTAAGCAATCAGCTGATTATAATGCATACGTAAAAAGTCAATTAAATGTTCTTTTTTCAACAATATAGGAGAAGGTTAGGAGAAAAATTACAAAATTGAACAATTTTTTATTTAAATTGAAATTATTGTATCTATGAAAAAATAATAATAATAAAAGAGCATTATTTTAATTTTTTTTTTTACTTTATGACTATTCAATGTTAGGATATTTTAGAAAAATAAACAAAGCACATATGAAATACATATTTCATTTAGATCAATGTGAACAGTTGCCCCATATGGGAATTTAATTTGCCTTTAAATAAAAAATTTTTTACTGATAAAAGGGAGCATAAGTTATCATTAAATGCATAAATGATCATTTATAACTTAATTGAAGAAATTTAAATCATCATTAGCAGCTTTTCAATGAGCAAATTTAACCATAATAACTGTTCCTTTTGATTCTCAATACCAAGTACCAATACCAACTATTTAAATGTAGTTAGTGAAATATACTATTTACTGTAGCTATAAACGTGATACTAGTTCTTTTACTCCCATTGATGTTTAATGATAATTAACACCAATGGAATGTTTTTTTAAATGCTCATTGAATCTTGTTTAATTATCATTTATTGCTTTCGTCTGTTAAAATTATGACAACTATTTCTTTTATTAATATTCCTCCTTCAAAAGAACTTATTTGGTAATTTTTAAAATTTTAATACAACTCATTAGAGAATTTGTCGAAAATAAACTTCTTTTATATATAATTTTTAATTGATGCTTTAACATTAAAACTGTTAAGGAAAGTTTTCCCCTAAATTTCATCTACTTTCGCAATTAAACAAATCACCCAAAAATCATGGAGACCCAGACCCACCTTAGCTACAGATACGTTTCCTGTTTCCTTCCGTGCTAAGTGTCTGCACGTGTTCCTTTAAATTTCCTTAAAAATGTACCTGTGTTCCTTTGAGGTGCCCTCAAGTATTTTTGAAGAAATGTTGATGAATGGATGTGAGGAGTCTGTGTTTGTATTTTAAGAATGTATATTTATAATATAAAGGAACGGTAACGCTTTTGAATTTTTTATTGCTTCAATTAAGTTAATGGGGCAATAAAGTTAAGATTTTTTTTTTAAATTTTAAACGAAAATATTTCT